TCAGTGGCATCAACTTTGCTTCCCCTCTCCCCAAAGTTACCTCCCCTGTGGAGCTCCCCCTGTAACTGACGGCCAAGTCCCTCCCTTCTGTGGCTTAGCAGGGAAAATCCAGGCAAGGCGATAGCCAGAACACCTTAAGAAAGGGCTGATAGCTGAGCCGACAGACCCCTGCCCAGCTCTTCTCCCTGGGCCCCTAGATCTGAAAAGGTTCTCTGAGACTGTCCCTGTTCCTCCCTGGATTTATGTAGAGATGGGGAGGCGAGATCCACAGAGGAGGGTGATTCACCCAAAGTCACACATGATTCTTCTACCTTCTCCCTCACTTAGCCATCACTAGAAGGCTCCCTGAGACTGGACCACAAATCGGACCCCCTTCCCCCTTCCTCAGCTGCTTTCCCAGCAAGCTGACCAGCAGGGCGGCCACTTATTCTCTGGCTCCTGGCTTTTCAGCACCAAACTGTGACTGAGGGTGGGGCAGGAAAAGCCAAGGGACAGAGGCCTATTCCTCAGGGAGGGGGCACCCCCATTGTGGAAGGTCTGGTTCTGGAGGGCTATACCCCTGGCCCTGGTTCTGCCATTTTGGGCATTCACTGGAGGGCTGGTGTCCTATAAGCTTTCTCATGTCTCCCCACCTCCCCATTCCCGGCTCCTGGCTTAGATTTGTGACACAGACTATGTGCAGTATCCAAACTACTGTGCCTTCAAGAGCCAACAGTGCCTGATGAGAAGCCGGGATCGGAAGGTGAGCCCCTCACCCCGCCCACCCCCTTCTCCCATTGGCTCCTCGATCTGTCACCACAGATCGGTCTATTCCCAGCACCCCCACACCCTGCTCCAAGCGGCAGGGATCAGAAACAGTTCCCTGTTTGCATCTCTGGGCAGAGGCCTCCACCAGAGCACTCTCTCCCACTCCTCCTGTCTTAGAGTGAGTGAGGCCCTCCCAGGCCAGGGGGGTCCAGAAGAGATGCTGCAAGTAAGAGGTGAGGGCCCAGAGGGCATGGCAGCAAGAATCCCTAGCCGGGTTGGGCATTGGCTGTTGAGGTCTTGGTCTTGCCTCCCGCTCTTACTCACCAAGTAGTCTGGAATAAGTCACTTCCTCCTCCATCTTGAGACTCCTGGCTTCTCAAAGGAGGGGGTTGGTCTCCTTGGTGTCTCTTGCCAGCCTTAAAAACCCACATCTGTTTCCTCCTTCCTTCTACTGCCCTGCACCCATGCCTGCTCGTCTCTGGTTCTTGTGGGGATGTCTGACACCTCCCCACCCCTACGCCTCTGCCTCCAGGCTCTGTGACACAGACTGTGTGTACCCAATCCCTGTGTAGGTGTCCCGTATGAGATGTCTGCAGAATGAGACTTACAGTGCTTTGAGCCAGGCCAAAAGCGAGGACCTTGTGCTTCGATGGAGCCAGGAATTTAGCACCTTGACTCTAGGCCAAGCAGGATGAGCTGGGATCTATCCTGTCTCCACCGCAGCCCGACCCTTCCACATTCTCCATTGCTTTTAGACCCCATCTGCCAGTTTGCTTCCTGGCTGCCCCTTATGGGTCTCTTACCTGGCCCCTACTCACGTTTTCCTTGGGTTGGGGCAGCAATCCCAGAAGGGTCCATGATGGAAACTCCACCCACCTTAAAGGATGGCTTTACATAAAGTGTTTATTTTCAACCTGTGTGGCCTACTTTGGTTATGATTCCATCCTCAGCACTGCCTTCCTGCCCCCTGGGAATCAACATTCCAAACCCTGGGATTTATGGATCTATCTGAAGGTGAAAGAACCTCATGAATGGTACTCAAAGAAGTAGCCATATTCCCGGAGAAGACCTAAGAAGTCAGGAAGTTGGATTGAAGAAGGCCATGACTGGGGTCTGAGGGGTTGTGTGAGCCATGCGGGCATGTGTCTTCATTTCTGAAGTCCATGACCACAGATGAGTATGGGCTTGTCCCTCTGGAGGATAAAGGCCAGAGCCTGACTGAGATAATGTCCCGGGGGTGGGGGTGGGGGGACAACCCCAGGGAAGTAGGGCAGAACTTACATTTTATCAAGACAGAGGAAACAGCTGGGGCGGGGAGCTCAGGAAACGCTTGATTTCACATCCAGTGATGGGCCAGATGGTCTGAAGGTTGAGGTGGTCACATTTTGACAATATACATTGAAATGTGACTCCAGCATTGGCCTTTAATAACTTGGGATCTCCCAAAATGTGTTCTAGGGACACGTATGTTTGAGAACCTGTATAGTCTCTCCTTCTACAGGAGCACCGTGATTAAGAACATTAAAAAAAATTGGGGAACCTGGGTGGCTCACTTGGTTGAGCATCTAACTCTTGGTTTCAGCTCAGGTCATGATCTCACGGTTTGTGAGTTTGAGCCCCGCGTCAGGCTCCATGCTGACAGCTCAGAGTCAGCTTGAGATTCTCTTCTCTCCCTCTCTCTCTCCGCCTCTCCCCTGCTCACTCACTCTGTCTCTCTCTCTCTCAAAATAAATAAATACACTTTTTAAAAAATTAAAAAAACAAAAACAAAAAAACCCCCAACTTGTTTATTAACAGAAAAGTTGAAACGCACAAAAATATAGTATAATGCCCCCCATGCACCTTCATCCGCTTCAATTATGAGCACATGGTCAATCTTTTTATGGTATGTTAAAGGCTCTGAGAAGCCCTGTAACAGAGAAACCTGTTCAGTCTGGTGTGTCTCAGACTTATTTGACTACGACATCCTTTTTCACCTACCACTCAAAAACTTTAACTCGTTTTTGTGTATTGAGCATGGACAACATGCCTAGCCTTGTTGATACAGAAGACAAGGGGCTCAGCCAGAGGGCACAGAGACGAGGGACTGTCCCCCAGCCCTCAGAGCTCACAGCCTGAGGGAGCCAGACAGAAGCAGGGTGGAATGGCCCTGGGCAGGGTGGGGGATGGCCATGAGTGGATAGAGCGAAACCGCCTGCTGGAACCCAAAAGAGAAAGAGACACCCAGGGGGAACTGGTGAGTACAGTGAGAGGTTGGTGGGTTAGTCATCTAGCATCAGTGAGTGGGTGTGCCAGTTAAGCTTCCCGGAAGCTAGGGAGTGTGTGAGCAATGGGTGGGGGGAATCATTAATAGGCAAGGGTTGGGGCTGGATTAAGTACCATTCTCTGCTGGGATTTCTTCTCTGGCCACCTCCGAAGGCCACTTAGGGCGCTGCTTCCTCTCTCTCCCGGTCCCGTGTGTGGGGTTGGGTGAGTGCAAGGAGCTGGGACCTGCTGAGATCTGCCAGGAGAGTGTGTCCCCACCCACCTCAGGAGCAGGTCCTACCAGCCCAGCCCAGCTCAGAGCAGGCAGCGGAAGCCACAGGGAACACAGGTATGGGGGTGTCACAGGGCGGGGGGGGAGGGGATTGAACTTCGTAGGGGGCACGATGGGGAGCATCCCTCCTTCAGAGTGGGGTTTGTGGGTGGGATGGAGATGAGGGTGGGCCATGGGCCCTGGAAAACCTCTTTGAATAGAGTAAAAAGCTAAAAGGGGCTGCCTCAGGCAGACAGGCCTTTTGGGGCCAAGCCAGGGGAGACAGCCACCACGCTTGGCACACCCAGGAGTGCCCCCTCTGAAGTCTGAAGCCCCTACACTGGGGCATCCTGGGGGAGATGTGACCTCCCCTTCACACTTTAGGTCCCCACCATTATGCTGAACATTGGGCTTCCCACGGCCACTTAGGAGGGCTCTCTGGTGGGGGGCGTCCAGCCCTTCCCCACCCTCAGATAACTTAACCCCCCGCTCACCCTCCGAGGCCGGGCCCTCTGCTAGATGACAATGAACTCAACTTATCGGACTCCACTAATGGGCTCACTGGCACAGATGTGTTCTCCTAGTTATCCTTCCCAGCTAACCAAGGTGCGTTTTAATGGGGCTTTGAGAAACACCACCTTAACCCGGTGCGCTCGTCTTCTATATGAGAAGATTAGATGAGATGGTCTCTAATGTCCCTAGAATTCTGATAGAATGCGACTCATGAGTGGCATGAAGGGGATGAAATTTCAGATATTGAGCACAGGTGGGGGAAATATTTGAGGGTCGGCAAGGCCTTATGATACCCTCGTATCATACTACTAAGGGCAACTGCCTACCTATTACCTGTGTTTGGGGGGGGGACCTCCCACCAGGTTGTATCTTGAGCTCCTTTTAGGCCGAGTAAGTCTTAGACCCAGGGGGAGATGGAGGTAAGGATTGGGGGGAAAATAGAAACTCACTCATACCTGTAAGCCTCACTTCCCGGGAGGCACCAGAGCCCAGCTCCTGCTGTTTCTGCCTAAGGCTGTCAGCCCTCTCTAGCCTGCTGCCCTCTAGCCTGTGCCCCAGCCACATAGATGCCTTGTATGCCCGGGCACCCGGAGAAGGAGGGGAGGGGGGAAGCCGGGGTGCACAAATGCCTCCCGAGGTCAGAGCAAGGTCAAAGATGCCCAAGGGCTCCAGATTTCTCTGAGGGGGCAGGACCCAGCCAGCCCCCAAAGCAAGGGTAAGATGCATATAGACTACTCCGAGTGTAGGGCCGTATAGGGCTGAGCCGGTCTGAGTGACTTCTCTGGATTGTAACTTTATTTCCTGTTTTTCCAGCTCTTGAAAGCAGGGTGGAGGGAGATGTGCAGGTGGTGAGGTGACATCCACACACAGGGGGAAATGAATTACTGAGCTGTAGGCCACCTTTGCTTTCTGCTGCTTCCCAGAGAAGAATGGGAGACAGGAGGTCAGAATACCCAGGGAGGGGGAGAAGACGTGGCTGAGAATGATATCAGATGGGGAAGCCAGGGGTGGGGGGGTGGCGGGGGGAGCGAGGGGGGGAACAGGGGGGTGGAAGGCTGGAGCAAGAATTTGGGCTGGAGAAAGCAGGGCAGGCCTGGAAGAGGAGGAGGGATGATGGAAAGAGGACCCAACTCCCCCCTGGAGGCCTGTGCCTGAGGCTCTTCTCCTTGAGAAGAATGTGGCCCCTCGGGTAGGAAGAGGCTGTCCACTGAGCCTGGTGACACTGTACTATCTCCACACCACAGACCCCTCAGATGAGCACGATTCATCTGTGTCCTCCAAGCAGCTCCAGGACAGAGCTTTTCACAAAGCCTTCAGACTTTGTTAAGCTTCTGCTGGAGGCTCCAGCATAGTTTGGACCCGTTGGAGGAGCGCGAACATTCAGGTAGTAAGAGGTATAATTTACAATTAAGCATGTCTGTGGGTAAAGGGTACATCCTCCTACTGTTGCCTGCACACAACAGCAGAAGTGGACTTAGCCGACAGGATGGTCAGAACCCACACCGTGTAGGGGTGGGACACACTGGCTGGCCATGACTCCCAGCTGTGGCCTCTGGCATCGAAAATGAGGTTTGGGGCTATTCTAGAACGGATCTTCCGGGGCAAGGAGGAGGAGATCTGAGATTCCTTCTTTTCGAACTTCTGGAGGATGTGAATTACTAAAAAGAGGAGACAGAGAGAGCAAGGCATTTGGTGGATATGCAAGAGGGACAAGGGGGGTGCGCACGGGGAGTGTGGCGGACAGGAGGAGTCTGGACAAAGAGGAGTTATTTCTCTTCCCCGCCCTGCCCCCATCACTGTCTGGGATCACCTATTCCTTTCTCTTCAGCCCTCTCTGCATGGCTGGTCAGCCGCCAGAAGGGTGGATAGCACGGGCAGGTTGCGTGGAGAACAGGGAGGAATGGCCATGACCTAGCCTCCTGCCCATTTTGACTCACATTCTCACTTCCTGCCTGGCAGAAAATAGCTCTGCCCCTCTGGCTTATCTCAGCAAAGAGCAGCGCCCAGCCCAGCTCAGAGGGCAATGGAACAGGTCCAAGAGGACTAGAGGACCTAAGGAGCCTGGGCCTTGGATGTGCCCACAGGAAGCTGAAAGAGACCGAGGGAGGAGGAAAGTGGCCGTCCACGGTCTGGTGTGTGAGTGGTGTGGAGGGCGGGTGGTGTGGAATGGCCAGTTCCCGGGGCCTCCATATGCAGGGTCCCTTTTTGCCCCTCAGTGTCTTGGCCCTGGGATCTATTTGTGCACCTCTGCATGGGTATGTGCTCCTGAGGCTGCCTGACTCTGTACGTCTGGATGTGTAAGAATATTGTCCCTAAGGCAAGGGCTGGGTCTACTCTTCCTCCTCTGGCCCAGTTGTCCGTGCCTCCACACATGCACATACTTGTGTGGGAGAGGGTGTGGGCGTATAGTGATTTGTATGTTACGAGGGATCTCGTGTGCACATCTCCTAGTGTACCTACACCTCTCTGTGTCCTTGGCACATGCACGTGTGCGTAGTGGTATGCTTGTTACCACATCCGTGCGTGTTGAGGTTACTAAGATTATGTGGGCCTCCCAGTCCCTCCTCCTCTCTGGTGAAACGGAGCCCCAGTGTTCATTTTTTTCTGGGGCAGCTGCTGTTTTTGCTTCCTACGTTTCCCCCACAACCTGACCTCTTTCTCAAGGCAGGACTGGGGAGAGATCCTGGGGCTGCCCCTCCCCCCCCCCCACCAGCTAGAGCCCTCCTTCCATTTCCTGTTTGCCTTCTTTTTGGCAGTTTTTCCCATCTTTGCCATCTGGCCTGGCACTGTGCCCATTCAGCTCCACTGACAGGAGCCCCAGGGAAGCAGGCAGATGGGGTGGGGACCAGGGCAGGGCCTGGCAGCCTCTCAACACCCAGCTTGGGCCATTGTGTGTGTGTGTCTGTTAGAAAGGGGTGACTTTTTGACAGAAAGGACTTCTCCACTTTGGAATTCAGTAATGAAGGCATAACCATCTGCTTGATGGGTCTCTAACTGTACCTTTATTTTATTTTAATTTTTTAATGTTTATTTATTATTGAGAGACAGAGAGACACAGAGTGTGAGCAGGGGAGGCGTAGAGAGAGGGGGAGACATAGAATCTGAAGTAGGCTCCAGGCTCTGAGCTGTCAGCACAGAGCCCGACGCGGGGCTCGAACCCACAAACTGCGAGATCATGACATCATGACCTGAGCCGAAGTTGGTAGCTTAACCAACTGAGCCACCCAGGCACCCCTCTAACTGTACCTTTAAGCAGAAGCTCACCTAGTACCTTATGGTCTCTTTAACATTGTAACTTTATTGACAGAAATACTTGGGATTCTTGGAAAATAATTACTCATTCACTCATTCATTGTCAGGCATGTGCCTCCCAGTTGTAAGAAGCTATTGATTCTTCAAGCAATGGTTCAGAATGATAAAGTGTTACTGTAGTTATAGTGTAAACTGTTTTTGAAATTTTAATGCGGGCTGTTCCCGAACAGGCCTTTTAGGGGACATGGTCCTTTACTAAGTGAGTTAGACACCTGGACAAGATAGGAGTGTGATAAGCGGTTGACTGATTGATACAAAAGATATTGCAGCAAGATTACAGGATGGGTGGACATTGGGGGTGGGGGCAGATTTCCTTCCAGGGGGCCAATGAATGTCACAAGGGCCTGCTAAGCAGAGACTGAAGTGTGAGTGAGCTTGGGAATAAAGCGATGGAAGATAGGGCCCCACCCAATGACCTTACCATCTAGGTGGGGATAATGGAATCAAATAAACACACATAAAACAACCGGAGGAGTTCAAGGCAGCAAACTAAGTGCTTAAGTAGGTAAGAGGACATCCTAAGGAGGGGCACACTTGTGTGTGTGCGTGAAAACAAGAGGACTCTGTTACCAGTGTTTGAAAGTCGAGAAAAAGTGGGCTATTAAAAAGTATATATTGTACCTGGGCAAATAAGGAAGTAAACACAATTTATTTGTGGGCACAGATTTCTTTTTTCTTTTTCTTTTTAATGTTTATTCATTTTTAGAGAGACAGCATGAGCAGGGAAGGAGGCAGAGAGAGAGAGGAGGACAGAGGATCTGAAGCGGGCTCTTGCACTGACAGCAGCGAGCCCGACTTGGGGCTCAAACCCACGAACTGCGAGAGCATGACCTGAGCTGAAGTTGGACCCTCTGCCGGCTGAGCCCCCTGGGCGCCCCTATGGGCACAGATTTCTCATGGGCTAAGAGACCAAGTGCTCCGTGCAACATGCGTCCTCACATCCAACCATCCACTCTTGTTGCAAGCAGCGGGGCAGCTTGGAGCTGGGTTGGAATCCTGAGTTTGAATGCCAACCGGAGCTCTAGAGCTTCTGTTTCCTTTCCCGTAAAAATCAAGATGAACAGTCAAAGGACTGTTGGAAGGAATAAAGACGAGGCGCCTAAAATACCCCGGGATGTGGCGGATGGTCAGTAAATGATCGCTAACAATTTTCACACAACATGTATTGAGGTAGTGGCTCGGACTACAACGATGACTAAGTCCCAGTCCGCAGCCCCTCCCTCCAAGAGCTCACAGTCTAGTGGGAGGGGCAGACCAAGAACAGCTAATTACAATACAGGTGGGACACTCAAGGGAAACCCGTGCGCAGAGTGGAAGCACCTGTGAGGGAACTACAGCTGCCCTGTGGGGAGGGAGGGAGTCAGGCAAGGCTTTCCGGAGTCCTAAGAAGTGATTGACTTTGCCAGCTGGGGAATGGGAGGCAGAGCACGTGCAAAAGGCATGTGCCCAATTATCATTAGCTTGGTGTGACCGGAGCAAAGAAGCATGGGGGGATGGGGGGGGGGGGGGGGGGCATGGGTCAGGGAAAGAGTCTCATTTCATTGCCTTTCTGTGTGTTTCATCCCCCCGTAGTATTATTTTCATTGTTGAAATGGGTATTTTGCAGAGGAAACGTTTATTTCCTTTATTCTACGAGACCTCTCACAAGTCTTAAACTGCTGGTAGTCGTAGTTGGGGGGAGAACAAATGAGCAAAAAACCCACAAGAAAACTCTTAGAGTCAGGTTTACAACTTGGTTCCATGCAGGAAGTTAAGCAGTTCCAGGGCTCGTGGCTGGCTCAGTTGGTGGAGCAGGAGACTCTTGATCTCGGGGTTGTGAGTTTGAGCCCAGGTTGGGTGTAGAGATTACTTAAAAATAAAATCTTAAAAAAAAAAGAATTTAAGCAGTTTCTTTTGAAAGGAATAAATCCAGTATCTTGGAATAATTGCTCAGGGTCTCCAGATGACCCTGCTCCCTCAGATGGCATGTGGACCCCACGTTCACAGCATTATTCACAATAGCCAAAACGTATAAAATTCCAAGTAACCATTGCCAGATGAATAGATTAAAAACAATTTATGCATATATTATTCCGCTATAAAAAAAAGATTGCAATTCTGATACATACTACAACATGGATGGACTTTGAAAACTTTATGTGAAGTGAAATAAGCCAGACAGAAAAGGACAGATACTATATGATTCCACTCATACGAGGAACCTAGGATAGGCAAATTCAACACCAAAATACCAAGTAATCTATTTTTAAAAATGGGCAGAGGACCTGAGTAGACACGTTTCCAAAGAAGACATACGGATGGCCAGTGGACACATGAAAAGATGCTCCACGTCGCTCATCATCAGGGAAATGCAAGTCAATCTCAAAGCAATGTGATATCACCTTACATTTGTCAGAATGGCTGGTATCAAAAAGACAAGAAATAAGAAATTCTGGCGAGAACGTGGGGAAAAAGGAACCCTCTTGCATTGTTAGTGGGAATGTAAATTGGTCCAGCCACTCTGGAAAAGAATATGGAGGTTCCTCAAGTAATTAAAAATAATTTACCGTATAATCCAGTAATTCCACTGCTGGGTATTTACCCAAAGAAAATGAAAACACTAATTCAAATAGAGTAGGCAAATTCCTGGAGACAGAAAGTAGAATAGAAGTTACCGGGAGCTGGAGAGAGTGTGGGGAGAGAATAGGCAGTTATTATTTAATGGGTATAGAGTGGTTTGGGATGATGAAAAAGTTCTGGAAGTAGCAGTGACGATCACGCATCATTGTGAGTGTACTTAATGTCACTGAATTGTATACTTAAAGACAGTTAAAATGGTAATTTTGAAGTTCTGTGTATTTCAGCCCCCCGCCCAAAAGATGGCATTTGGGCGTTAAAGAGGGAGGAGTAGCTTCTGTGGCATTAGGACATTAAGGAGGGTGGGATCCTGTGACCATCTCCTGTCCCTCTGACTCCTCTACCTCCTGGCCATATCCGTTGTCCACCAGCTTTTGCCTGAGCACTGTGGCTGCTGTGGTCTGCTCTCTCCAGCAGCCTCGGCAATGCCCTCGGTACCTCCTCGCCCCACTGTCACGCTTTCTGGACTTAGGGTCCCCTCTGAACCCTCATTAAAACAACACCTTCTGGGGCACCTGTGTGGCTCAGTTGGCTAAGTGTCTGACTTCAGCTCAGGTCGTGATCTCGCAGTTCATGAGTTTGAGCCCCACACTGGGCTCTGCTGCTCTCTGCCTGCTTCGGATCCTCTGTCTCGCTCTCTGCCCCTCCCCCACTTGCTCTCTCCCTCTTTCTCTCTCTCTCTCTCAAAGATAAAATAAACTTAAACAACCCCCCCCCAAAAAAAAACAAACAAAAACAAACATCCATCCATCACAGACCCCATTTGGGAAGCTCCCTAGTCAGATCCTCCAGGGAACACTTGGAAAAGTACAACCTTCCCCTGCCTGGCAGGACCATGCTGATGTGTGATCCGCCTTTGAGAGCCCTTTGTGTTATTATCCCCAGTTTACGGATGAAAAAACTGAGAGAGGTCACACAAGCTGAACCTCTGACCACAAACCCAGCGTACACAGGAGCAACTGTGATGTAATGAGTGAGGCTCAGGATTTTGTACTGCACTGGGGAGTTTGAACTTTATTCTTTAGATAACTGGGAGCCAGCAGAGCTGGGGAGTTCCAGGAGAGGTGCTCCATCATAATTCTCACCATCTGACATAATACCTATTTACTTGCACTTTATTATCTGTCTCCCCTCAATGGAATGTAAGGCAGATGGGGGCAAGCAAGGCCTTCATTTTGTTCAGTGCTTTGAACATGCCTGGAACCTTCTAAAGGCTCAGTAAACATCTGTAGAAGACAGAAAGGAAGGGAGCAATGTTATTTGATAATAACAGCAACCTGTGCACTTTACACATATCTCATTTCATCTAACAACCTCATGACGTAAGGGACCCCCTCTTTTTCCCCCCAGGTAAGGAAAATGAGAGATTAAGTCACCTTTCTGAGGACAAAGCTAGGCAAGCTGGCAAAACCAGGATTTAAACCCTGGCAGTCTGATTCCAGAGACTGGGCATTTAACACTGTGCTACACAGCCTTCCTGCAGAAAGCTATTCTGGCCGGATGGAAGGTGGGGGAAAGACCCAAGAGGCCAGCCAAGTTAGCTAGATAAACATTTGTGACTTCTACCCTGTCTTTGCATACTCTTGACTTTGGCTTCCCTTGCTATTCCAGGTCTCCACTGCTGGTGAAGCCGTGACCCAAAGCATCCAACCCCTGGCAGCCATCTGCTCCGCAGCCATAGCCCACATTCCCATGCCCTGCTTGCTTTGGGGCTCTCTCTCTGTGCGGCCTCCAGGCCCCGCCCTGGAGATGAACGCGATGCCAGGGTCCTAGTGTGCCTCATGATGCCCCCAGCCTAGCTCCTCCCCACACTTCGGTACGATGTTGCCCAACTCTACCAACAGTTCTGTTCCCCCTGCCAACGGTTCTGTTCCCCCGTGCCCCGACTACCGGCCCACCCACCGCCTGCACATGGTGGCCTACAGCCTGGTGCTGGCCGCAGGGCTCCCCCTCAACGCGCTGGCCCTCTGGGTCTTCCTGCGCGCGCTGCGCGTGCACTCCGTCGTGAGCGTGTACATGTGCAACCTGGCGGCCAGCGACCTGCTCTTCACCCTCTCGCTGCCCGTGCGCATCTCCTACTACGCCCTGCACTACTGGCCCTTCTCCGACCTCCTGTGCCAGACAGCGGGCGCCATCTTCCAGACGAACATGTACGGCAGCTGCATCTTCCTGACTCTCATCAACGTGGACCGCTACGCGGCCATCGTGCACCCGCTGCGGCTGCGCCACCTGCGGCGGCCCCGCGTGGCGCGGCTGCTCTGCCTGGGAGTGTGGGCGCTCATCCTCGTGTTCGCCGTGCCCACCGTCCTGGTGCACAGGCCCTCGTCCTGCAGCTACGGCGGCGGCCAGGTGCGCCTGTGCTTCGAGAGCTTCGGCGACAGGCTGTGGAAGGGCGGGCTGCTGCCGCTCGTGCTGCTGGCCGAGGCGCTGGGCTTCCTGCTGCCCCTGGTGGCGGTGCTCTACTCGTCGGGCCGGGTCTTCTGGACCCTGGCGCGGCCCGACGCCACGCAGAGCCAGCGGCGGCGGAAGACCGTGCGCCTCCTGCTGGCCAACCTCGTCATCTTCCTGCTGTGCTTCGTGCCCTACAACGCCACGCTGGCGGTGTACGGGCTGCTGCGGGGCAACCTGGTGGCGGCGAACAGCAAGGTCTGCGATCGGGTGCGCGGGGTGCTGATGGTGATGGTGCTGTTGGCCGGCGCCAACTGCGTGCTAGACCCTCTGGTGTATTACTTCAGCGCCGAGGGTTTCCGCAACACCCTGCGAGGCCTGGGCACTCCGAACCGCGCCAGGACCTTGGCCACCAACGGGGCTCAGGGGGCGCTCGCCGAACAGCCCACTGAGACCACTTGCATCACCACCCCGGCTACCGCCGAACAGGGGCTGCTCAGGCCCTCCAACGTGGGGACACCCTTAACCCAGCTCCCCGAGGATTCGGCCCTCTGACAGCACATCATGCCATCGCTCGGTCACCCCCACCTCTCACCCCCTCGCCGCTGACACGCATTAGGGTGTGTACACGAGGGAAGTGGATTGGGCACTTGGGACTTCTGGAAGGCAACTCCCGCCCAGAAATGCAGAAAAGAACAAAGTGTGGGGAGCCTGGGAAGGAGGAGCGCTGTGCTAATGGCCTTCTTTAATTTGGTGGTGACGGTGAGCCTGAGGCCGGACCCCTTCCCCAGTCCCTAGGAAGTGAAGCTGTGAGCTTTCCCAATGCAGAGGCAGATGACTGGATGGCATGCCCTTGGCGTGGTCATGAAACACTCTTGAGAGCTGGGAGATGGAGCAGAAAGTGGGTGTCCTGGATTTACAGCCACCACAGTAGTCTTAGGACCTCAGGTGCCACCCACCCTCATTTCCACCTGGGCTTCCCTTGCCCAGAACTTTCCTTGCCGAGTAAACTCAACGATACGGAGTTTAATGGATACAGACAGAATTGGTTTCCTTGTTGGTTAGTGACTTGTAACAATTTGGACCTGGCACCCAAAGTGGGGTGGTTGGGGGCAGGACAAAACTGTGTGTTGGAGGGTATTTTTTTCCCCAGATCCAGTCCCTGTAGCCCTTTTCACCTGTCTCTGTCCACTCCACACCGCTTTTGAGACTGCCTCCACTCTAGGTCCTAAATTCTCTCTCTCTGCCTCTGGTGCATCATCTAGAATTAAGGAGAAAATTCTTTGTACTAAAGTAGCAGTTCTTAAACTTTGTTCCCAGACCCTTTAACAACTCAAGGATTCCAAAGGGCTTTTGCTTGCACTTTATTCTTTTGAGACTTAACCATAACAGAAATTAGAACTCACGAGTGTTAACGACAGAAACACACAAGCACACTTTCCATTAGCTGTGAGAGCAATAATGTCATCACATTTCATGAAGCCTCTGGAAAACTCCACTGTATACCTGTGAGAGATGAGAATGCAAAGAACAAATGACATGATGGGAGAAGCAGGATTCCAAAAATAACTTTGACCTTGTGGACATCCTTAAAGAGCCAGTATTAGAGCTCACGTGTAACTTCTTCCCAGGGCATATACATACATTACTTTTTATTACTACCAGGGACAGGGCAATACTTGGGCAAATCAATTGCTAATTGTAGTCCAGAAGGCTTGAGGGTTTGCAGGTGGGAGTTGCACACCCAGTGTAACACCACCCTGGACTTCCTGGAGTGGCAGCCCTGAGGTGGGGGTGAACTAGTCACACAAACACTCTGAGGAGGGGCAGGGCTCCTCTCTCCCTGGGAAGGGAAAAAGGAACTATTGCCACAGCCAGGAAAGAACTTTCCAGCGAAAAAAGAGTGCAATGGGAGGACAGGAATAGGCTGGCTGTTCTTTGCAAGCTGGAGGCAAGGGACATGGAAGACTGGTTCATGGGCCACCTACTGTTTTCTTCCCTCTTTACAGGAGTTGGGCTGGGAGGGGTTGCAGAGTTGGCATCCTGAGACTCTGTGTAACCGAGGAAGTTGCTGCCATGCGTGTGTCCTGTATGCATTTCTGTCTCTGTGTCTCTCAATGATGTATGTTTCTGTGTGTGGGAGGGGGGAAAGAGAGACGGAGAGAGAGAGAGAGAGAAAGAGATTGAGAGAGACAGAAAGACAGTGTCAGGGTTTTCCTGTGTGTGTCTCTGTGTGTTTTAGTTTGGAGCAAGCCTTTTGTGTGTCTTTAAGCGAGTGCTTCAGATGGTGATTTACAGGGGTAAAATGACCCCTGGTGGCCAAAGCAGAGAAGTGACCCAGATTCCTCAGTGATAGCTTTCAAGTAGAGCCTTCCACCATCAGGTGCGAAGATACAGCCCTGGACCAGGCCCTCTGGTTGCTCTAGAAGAGGCCTGATGGTTAGCACCTGACCCATCTTGCTTCATCCTTAGGGCTCAAGACCCATGCCCTCCCAGCCCTGGGAGCATCAAACGTGGTTGTATTCCAAAGTCTCAGAACTTTGCCCTACCCAACCGAACTGGATTGAACACAGTTGTTAAAAATTACTTGAGTATTTTTATATTCTGATATGTGAATGGAATCCAAAGTACCAAAAATTCACATAGCAAGCATCTTCTAACATTCTATATAATTTACTTATTTATTTTTATAATTTTTATAATTTCTTGTCTGTTTCCCC